AAAAAAAAAACAGCAAGGATTTTAGCAGGATTTCTTTCGGCAGTAAACTCATCAGTTTTATTAAAATATCAAACACTTTTTAGCCTAATTTAGACTAACAAGTTTACATGCACAACACTGCCATCCCAAACAAAAGTTAACGTGGATAAGCCAAGTGCATCCGTCCACTTCAACATTAAACAGACATACGTGCACAAGCCTTGGCTAAATGATAAATTCTAACCACTTAATGACAGGCCAGTTTTGATCAAATAACAGATAAATTTAAGAGTCACGTCTTTGGAATCAGTCATATCCCAGCAGTTCCAGTCCTGACTCAGATACAATTGGGATGTGATCTTAAGCAAAGTACCCTGCTCTCTCTGGGCCTCAGTTTCTTCATTTGAGAAGACTGGAGGTGTTAATAGTGGTTGCCTCTTTTCTCTGTCGTGAGGACCAAAGGAGATAATGACTGCCAAGTACTTCCACAGTGCCTGGCACAGAGAGCACTCCACTAACGTTAGCTGCTGTTCTTAGGAGGACTGCGTCCCTTCCCAAGTCCCCGCCACACATCCAAAACACACAAAGCAAAACTCTTTAAACAGGAAACACAAAGAAAGAGCTTTAATTCTGCAAGGTCCCTCCGACTGCAGGCTCTGCATCCTCCAGTTCCTCAAATGAATGAATGAGCGCCTAGGAGTGGCTCTGCAAATAGCTGTCTCTTAGGAAACACCTTTGCCGACTTTAAGGTAACTGTCTTTCACCATCAATTAAACACCTACAAGTACACCCAGAGCGAGGCACAACAGTCGTGCAAATTTCAGCGGAGACACCGAGTCCAGGCGAGCCCTTCATGCCCACAGGCAACCTCCATTCATTCTCCACGCCCCTCTGCCCCAACCCCTCTCTTTAAGTTCTGGAAGCAGTCCCACCCCCGCGACCCTTCCCCTCCCGCCGAGCGTCTCTACCCTGCCCTCCGCACCTCGCATGAACCTGTCACCCCACCAAGTGAGGGGCTGGCGGAGGGGCCCACCTCACCCCTGCCGGAGGGACAGAGACCATGGGTGCAGCGGACCCTCGGACGCCCAGGAGGAGAGAAGTGCCCGGTCCGGCCCACCTCTCCTCCCCAGGGACCCGCCAGTCCCGGCCGGGCCCGCCGGAGATAGCGCGGAATATGAGGGAGGGGAGAGCCCTTCGAACCCCCCTTCTCCGGGCTCCCTAGCAAGCAAATGAGCCTCTCGCTCCAGCCCCTCCGAACCTCCCAGACTGGGGTGATGGTGCCGGGACTGCCCCAGAAAGCCCCCATAAAAAGGAGGGGGAGACACCCCCATACTCACCCACCGTCTCCTCCCCCTCAGCTGTTTACCTCACAGTCCCTCCAGCCTACAGGGCGCCGCCATCTTGGACGTACAGCACCTCCCCCCGTCGTGAAAGGGCCCAGTCCGACAGCGGCCTCCGCCACGAAAAAGAGTTCCCCTCCGCGCCTCGTCTCCTTCTGGAAACGAAGGACAGACGGCCGCGCTTGGCAGCCCCGCCGGAAGGAAGAGGCCCTTCCACTCATAACCGATGATGTGGGTTGGACGGGAAAAAAAGCAAGGAGGGTTTTGAATGGCAGGGGGGGCGGGGCCGGGCGGAAGGATCCCGAAAGGAGGCTGCTGAGAGATCTTGTGACTCCGCGAAGGAGGCAAAAAGAAGGGCCGGCGCGGCGGGAGGAGCCACGCGAGAGCCCGAGGGGCGGGGCGGGAGGTCACGTGACGGGCGGGCGGGAGGCACCGCGGAGAGGCGTAAACAAGCTGGCGGCGGCTGGGTGTGGTTGGAGCGCCTTCCCGCTTGCCGCTGGAGTCGTTTCTGCCCTTCGCGCGCCTGGCGCCCCCTCGAGTGTCCCTGTGGGCGGCTACAGAGCGGCGATCCTGTTTCCCGAGGAGCCCGCGTGGGTGAAGGGCCTGCTTGGGAGCCTTAGGGGAGTTGCAGCTCACCAGGGAAGGGGCGGAAAGCCGGGGGTCAGGGCAGCCTCCTTCCTGGGCTGAGCATTTGCAGAAGCCCGCCTCCGGGATGGCGGGGGACCCCCCTGGCTTCTGCCTTCAAGTAGCTCACACTTCACACCTAGTCATGACGTCTAGAGAGAACCAGCCCTAGTAGGAGGCAGCTTTCAAATCAGAACGCCTCGTTGCGTTCCCTGCCGAAACAAAGCTTTAAGCCGTCTAAGCTTCAGTTTCTTGACATGGGCGCAATGACATTTGTGACGTGAGGAATCAAAGAGATGAAGTATAGACAGCGTTGAGCCCAGAGCCCTGCGCCTAGGAGATGCTCTCTCGCTAGGTAGGTGGCCTTTGTCGCGAGGCTGGATGTGATGAGCTCCAGCACGAACAGGAAGCGCTGTGAGAGGAGGCACAGTGCCATGAAGTCGAACTATGGGATCTGAAAGGCATTTTGAAGGAGTGGGCATCAGGCTGGGTTTTAAAGGAAAGGTAGGTTTTATGACTTATTTTGGTTCCTATCTACGAGCCCCCAACCTTCCCCGGCCCTTGAGCAGTGAGCAGCCTTTATAACCATAGGTCTAGAACCATGAAGGCTTAGGAGGGAGGTGGAAATTGACCTGCTGATCCCTCTGTTTTTGCCATTAAAACCACGATGACTTTTGCAACCAACCTAATGGAACCAGGGGAGGTGGCTGGGGAGAGAAGGCCATTCCAGGCAGACGGAACCAAAGGAACAAGAGGCTAGGGGCAAGAAAGTGCTGGGTGACTTGTGGGAATAACAGGTTTTGTCTTGGGAACTAATTGCGTCACAATGCAAGGCAGCTATGGTTAAGGAGGGGCCACGTGTGTGAGTAGCCAGCACCGTGGGGGCTGTCAGAATACTAAGCAGACCCCGGATGGTCCAGGGTAGGGCCTCTGCTAGCCAGTATAGGGCCTTGGTGAGAATTAGAAAAATGGCACCCCTGGGCTGTATTTTGGTCCCTATCCACCGGCCCCCAACCGTCCCGGGCCCTTGAGCAGTGAACAACCCTTATAACCATAGGTCTAGAACCACGAAGGCTTAGGAGGGGGAGGTGGACATTGAACTGGTGATCCCTCTGTTCTAACAGTCACTGGGGGAAGCCAAGAGTTCTAGATTCAAACAGACCAGAATTTGAATGTAGGTTTCAGCCATCATACTATACTAACTGGATGAGCCTTAGTCTCCTCACCTGCAACATAGAAATAATAATAATGCGGGCCGGGCGCGGTGGCTGAAGCCTGTAATCCCAGCACTTTGGGAGGCCGAGGCGGATGGATCACGATCACGAGGTCAAGAGATCGAGACCATCCTGGTCACCATGGTGAAACCCCGTCTCTACTAAAACTACAAAAAATTAGCTGGGCATGGTGGCGCGTGCCTGTAATCCCAGCTACTCGGGAGGCTGAGGCAGGAGAATTGCCTGAACCCAGGAGGCGGAGGTTGCGGTGAGCCGAGATCGCGCCATTGCACTCCAGCCTGGGCAACAAGAGCGAAACTCTGTCTCAAACAAAAAAAAAAAGAAATAATAGTAATGCTAGCTCATGGTGATTTGGGGTGGATTCAGTGAGACGTTAAGCTCTAAGGGACGCAGAACCTACTCCAGTTAGTGTTACTCTTGTTAACTGTTAAGGGCCAGCTGTCAGCATCCGTCACTCCCAGAAGCAGGTCTGCCAAACACAAAATTCTTCTGTGTCACCACCCAAGCATAGTCTGCGTGGGGTCCAGAGGTGGAAAGGTTGAGGGAGACAGAGAAGGGTCTGGGTTATCTCAGTTCTACCAATCTACAAACTACTTCACAGGAACAGACTCTTCCCTTTGCATTCACACCAAGGCAGGGATTCAGGTGTGTTCAGAGATTTCGGAGACCATCAGTGATGGGAGACCTAAGGAGGAGGGTAGCAGCAGTGCTGCTGTGGAGCTCGGACCCAGGAAGCCCCCACACCCTGACTTTCCTTGGCTCCATGACCTCATCCTGCAGGAATGCATCCGGCCACAGAGCGAAGCAGCCATACACAGAGCTCATCAATTGCTTGTTTTCCAGGGGTCATAACCACATTGTCACTGTACACTGTCTGGAAGAAGAATGGTCATTGTTATCTCAAGACGGACCACCAGTGGCTCGTAAGAAGAGGCTGGAGATGACAGGCAGAGACAGCCCTGCCACCATCTCCCACCACTTAACCAGGCTGGGCTACTTAGATGTTTTCTGCTTCTCTGGGGCTGATTTTTGTCATTTGCTTAACAGACACTAATCAGACCGCTACCTTCCACACACCACCCTGGAGCCTCCCTGTGACAGGGGACTTTCTGACCAGCCTGTCTGAGCATAGAAGGGCTGAGCCCTGCATAGGCAGGTGGTACTAACAGGATGCATGTCATGGAGGACATCTGCTGCATTTGGCTGTGTGACGTCTCCCCCTTGCCTTCTGAAGAGGTGAGCCCGTCCTTCCTTCCCGAAGTATGGCTGGTGGGATTGGCCAACACTCAGCTATTGTTACAGGTGCATGCTACTCAGGTCTTCCATTTTGTGTGCCTATTAAGCTAGGTTACAGTTTGTCCACAAGGACTCAAATATTTAAGTACGGAATCCTTCTCAAGCCATATTTAGTTCACTTTAAGAAGCTGAAATGGTTGGTCCACAGTGGACCTGTGACTTGAGCTGGGTTAGAGTGCTTCTCTGGGTCTTAAAAGATAGATGTTTTGTTTTGTTTTTTTAAGTGATTTTTCTCTTTCTTCTAGGGTCATTAAACTGGGATGAGGAAGCTGTGGCCTCTCCCTTCCTCTGGCCTACAGCAAGCTATGTGACAAGTCGGGTTAAAGAGTGAAAGAGACAGAGACAGAGATGGAAAGAGAAATTCATGCTCCTATCTCTTTATTTCCAGAGTCCCTGAAGCCAGCTTTGCCCTGGCCTTCCAAGTTCCATGAAGCAATAACTATTTCGGCCAGTGCTAGTTTCACTGGATTTCTGTTCCTCTTAAACAAAAGGCCTGGATGTAGTGGGATTCAGAGACCTTTGGAAGGACACCACCAGTCAAAATACTGTTCATCCACTTGAATTGCTTTTTGGCTTTAGCTTTCAGCTATCTGTGCGGCAGCCTCCTGGCCAGGAGCCCTGCCAACAGCGGGCATCCCCAGCAGGATGGGGTCTGAGCTTTGCTGGCGGTCCCCAAGGCCCACGGCAGCCCTGGCCTCTCTAGCCCATCAGCTTCCCCTTGCTATCTAGCACCGTGTCCTCTAGTACCAAGGAGCGCCCAGAGGCTTCACACCGCCCTGCCTTGGCTAAGGCCGTCTCCTCTCTCTCCGCACCAGATGGCCTCTGCAGCCTGTGCTGGTCATTCTCCATTTGCCCTTCTCTGTCTGGGCTCCCCTCTAAGCCTCACCTGCTAAGCAAGTCCTCTCCCTCCTCTTGCATTTGACCAAAGTGTGGCAGGGTCAGGGGAGCAAGGAAGAGCCTTCCCACCGGGCCTGGCCTGGCCGTGATGCACAGCTCCCGCTGCGTGGCCTGTCTTGGTGTTAATAATGGTTCCCCCAGCTCACTCTTCACACTCAGAGGTGATCACGGATCCCCACAGCTCACTAGTCCTTAGATGCTTCAGCACCTCTTTTTTTCTCTGAAGCTGCTCACACCTGTCTTTTTAATTATCCCTTGCAGGGTGCTTCTGTTTCCCACCAGGATCCCAGCTGCTATAGCTACAGCCCTTTCTTAGAGAATCTGCCTTCAGCCTGGGCTACTCACTCCGAACCAAGCCAAACCCACAGATGCTTACACACACACACACCTCTGACTGGACCTGGATTCGGGCTGAAAACCTTCCTCACACTGAGCCAGCCAGATTCTCCTTCTTGAGAATTTGCACAAAGAGACCCCAAGCCTGAGACATATGGCATTGGTCAAGGGTTGAAACTTTACACAACTGCAGGCGGACTATTCAAACTGCTGTGCTCCAGAAGAGGCAGGTCACTTAGAAAATGCCTCAGACAGGTGCCCTTGGGGGTTGTGCAATAAGAAGGGACCGTGCTGTTCCCTGCGGGGGAAGGGGGAGTCACGTGGAGTTGGATCCAGCCATGGCCACCCGCACTCTGGACAGCAGAGTTAAGCAGGAGGAGCTGCTAAGAGCCTTGCCGAGGAAGCCAGCATGCCCAGACCAGCAAGGAGCAGCTGTGGTAACGGAGAGGAAGGAGAGCTGCAGGACTCGCCCATTGCCCAGGAGGCCTGCTTAGGTCTGGAAGATGCCCCTGTATCTTTTCAATAAATTCCACTTTTTCATGCCTGTAATCCCAGCACTTTGGGAGGCTGAGGCAGGAAGATTGCTTGGGGGCAGGAGTTAGAAGCCAGCCTGGGCAACATAGCAAGACCCCATCTCTACAAAAAATAAAAATTAGCCAGACATGGTGGCATGATACTTGGGCGGGTCAGACAGGAGGATCACTTGAGCCCAGAACGTTGAAGCTGCAGTGAGCCATGGTTGTACCACTGCATTCCACCCTGAATGACAGAGTAAGACACTGTCTCTAAAAAATGAACACACGCACAGACACACACCACTTTTACCTGAGCTAGATGTTCGGTTCTGTTCCTGGCAACCAATGCCACAACCGAGGCCAGAGATGGCCAAGAATGCTTTCCTTTCTTCTTTATCCAGATCACACTTGTTCCTCCAAGACTCAACTCCAATGTGATCTTCACCAGAAAGTCTTCTTGGGACCCCCAGGATGGAATAAAGGCCCCTGACCTGACTCCACTACCGCTGCCAAATGCACACCTCCATTCCTTCCACTGAACCACCTGCTTACTCAGGTTGTACTATGGGCCAGTCTCCCAAGTTCTCAAGAACTCTGCTGCCCCCAGGAGGTGGGGTGGATAATAGGGCCCTTGAAACGTCTAGTTCAAGGTCAAAAGACAGGAACAGAGTGGGACTGGTGGCTCACACCTGTAATCCCAGCACTTTGAGAGGCCGAGGCAGGTGGACCACTGGAAACCAGGAGTTCAAGACCAGCCTGAGTGACGTAATGAGACCCCCATCTCTACAAAAAAAATTTAAAAATTAGCCAGGCATAGTGGTACAGACCTGTAGTTCCACCAACTTGGGAGGCTGGGGTGGGAGGATCACTTGAGCCCAGGAGTTGGAAGCTGCAGTTAGCCGTGATCCTGCCACTGCACTACAGCCTGGGCAACAGAGTGAGACCCTGTCTCAAAAAAAAAAATTCAGCCAAGAACAAACCTTTGAAGACTAAGGCTAAGTAGGAGCAGTATGAGGGGCCAAGAGCTATTCTTGCTGCATGGATTGCTGTCCATGGCAGCTGAAGTGCCCGCAGGACTGGCGCCATCTTGGTTGGCTGTTATTTCAATAAATGGAGTGAAATTTATTGTCTCACGGTTCTAGAAGCTAGAAGTCCAAGATCAAGGTGTCGTCAGGGTTGGTTCCTTCTGAAGGTGTAGAGGGAGATCTGGTCCATGCCTCGCCCCCAGCCTCTGGAGTTGGCTGGCCATCCTGAGGCTCGAGCCCTCTTCTTGCCTCGTTCGTTGGCTTGAGATGCATCACACTGTTCTCTGCCTTCGTGTTCACATGACATTCTCCCTGTGAGCTTTCTGTGTCCAAAATTTCCCCTTATTGTAACTGCACCAGTAACATAGAATTGGGGGCCCACCGTCTTCCAGCATGACCTCAATTTTAACTAATTACACCAGCAACGACCTTATATATATCACATTCTGAGGAACTGCAAATAAGGACTTCAACATGTCAGTGTTTGGGGGAATTAATTCAGCCCATAACAGGTACCAAGGGCTGAGTTTGTCACATCATTATCCATGGTTTGTGAAGGGACCCTCTCTAATTTTTATACTTGCATTTGTTTGTTACCTTTTTTAATTTTTAATTTTTATTTTTTCTTGAGTTGGAGTCTTGCTCTGTCGCCAAGGCTGGAGTGCAGTGGCACGATCTCGGCTCACTGCAACGTCTGCCTCCCAGGTCAACCTCTGCCTGCCTCAACCTCCCAAGAAGCTGGGATTACAGGCGTGAGCCACCACACCTGGCTAGTTTTTATATTTTTGGTAACAATGGGGTTTCACCATTTTGGCCAGGCTGGTCTCAAACTCCTGACCTCAAGTGATCCGCCTGCCTCGGCCTCCCAAAGTGCTGGGATTACAGGGGTGAGCCACCACACCCGGCCCCCTTTGTTCCCTTTTATCTTCGTTCTCCACAACCAGTTTCCTCCTTGCACATAAGCAACCATTGTCATGTATATCATGTGTATCCTTTTGTCTGTATGTATCCTTGCAAAATGTGTATTTTTAATTTATGTAAGTGGAATTATGTTTTATGTTATAGGTGGCAATCTGTTTCTTACTTTTTCTCCCCATTCAGCATCATTTTGAAGCTCCATCTAGCTGCTGAGAATTATTCCATAATGTGAACCTGCCCTAATCTGCTTTCCATTCCCTCAGGGATTAACTGCAGTAGTGCCAGAAGTGACGTTGTGATGAGCATCACTACAGACCTTACACTATGCTGTTCCCTTATGGATCCAGCTCAGAATTTATTTGGGATACACAACCAGGAGTAAAACTGATGGCTCATAGCGTACATGGACTTACTCTTTTTTTTCCTTTTCTTTTTCCGACAGGTCTTGCTGTTGCCCAGGCTGGAGTACACTGGCTCAAACATGGCATACTGCAGCCTCTACCTCCTGGGCTCAAGGGATCCTTCCCTCTAAGCCCCTGAGTAACAGGACCACAAGCTTGTGCCACCACGCCTGGATTTTTTTTTTTAGAGACGGGTCTTGTCATGTTGCGCAGACTATACTTTTTTTTTTAGACTTACTTTTTTTTTTTTAAGTTCCAGGGTACATGTGCAGGATGCGCAGGTTTGTTACACAGGTAAACGTGTTCCATGGTGGTTTGCTGCACCTGTCAACCCATCACCTAGTTATTAAGCCTAGCATGCATTAGCTTTTCCTGATGCTGTCCCTCTCCCTGCCCGCCGACAGGCCCCAGAGTGTGTTGTTCCCCTCCCCAGGCTCCAGTGTATGTTATTCCTCTCCCTGTGTCCATGTGTTCTCATTTTTCAGCTCCCACTTACAAGTGAGAACATGTGGTGTTTGGTTTTCTAGACTTACTTTTAAGATACACCACCGAATGATTCTCTAGGAAGCCTGCCTCAGCCTACGCTTTCACCAGAACCCTGCAAAAGTATCCGTATCCCTGTCCACATTTGCTATTGACTAGCTCTTTAATTTTTTCAGTGTAGTGGGCTAAAGTGACATGTTCTTGTTTTAATTGGCTTCTCTTTGACTTAATGAATTGGAGCACTTTTATATCTTTATTATGAGTCTGTGGGTTACTTTCTCTATAGGTAGCTGGTTCTTGTCTTTTGACCATTTTCCCAGTACAGTTACTATCTCTTTCTTGATTTGCTGAAGTGCCCTGTGTATTCTATACAAGTGTTCCTTGTTGGTTATAGATATTTCTTTTTTATTTTTATTTTTTGAGACGGATTCTCGCACTGTCTCCTGGGCTGGAGTGCAGTGGCACAATCTCAGCTCACTGCAACCTCCACCTCCTTCCTCTTCAAGGAAATGCATATATAAATTTCCTACAGTAGGTATAATGTTTGCTGTAAGACTTTGGTATATGACTTTTACCAAATTAAAGAATAGATGTGGACCTCATCCATTGCTTTTTCTGCATTCATCGAATAGTCAAAAATATCTTTATTTTAGCCTATCATGTGGTGAAGTACACAGATATGTTTTTTAATAGTGATTTATCTTTGCACTTCCAGGACAAGCACAACTTGATCATGATGTATTTTTTTAAATACTTGTTGGATTTGGTTAATTCATGTTTTATTAAGGATGTTTGCATTTATTTTATATGTTTACAGTTCTTTTAATTGGAATGTATAGACCATTTACATTTAATGTAATTATCAGTGTAGTTGGCTTAAGTTTACCTTCTCGATATTTGCTTTCTATTTTTCCATCTGTTCTTTGTTCCTTTCTTTTGTCTTTTTCAGCCTGCTTTTGGATTAATTTAGCATTTTTTAGAATTCCATTTCACCACCACTATTGGCTTCTTTGCTATACATCTTTGTTTTGTGTTTTTAGTGATTGTTCTATGACTTATAATGTGAATCTTTAACTTATCACCATCTATATTCAGTGGCTACTATACCATTTCAGGTATAATTTAAGAACCTTGTGACAACATACTTCTGGCCAGGCATAGTGGCTCCACACCTGTAATCCCAGCACTTTGGGAGGCTGAGGCAGGCAGATTGCTTGAGTCCAGGAGTTTGAGACCAACCTGGGCAAAATGGCAAAACCATGTCTCTACCAAAAATACAAAGCTTAGCTGGGCCTGGTGGCGAGTACCTGTAGTCCCAGCTACTTGGGAGCCTGAAGCAGGTGGATTGCTTGAGCCCAGGAGGTGGAGGTTGCAGTGAGCCGAGACAGCACCACTGCACTCCAGCCTGGGTGACAGAGTGAGACCCCATCTCAAAAATAAAATAAATGATACATTTCTATTTCCTTCCCCTGTTCTTTGGACTATTGTTTTCATAAATTTTACTTCTACATAGGTTATAAAACCCTATGTAGGGGTTTATATTGTAAAAATATTGTTATTTTTGCTTTAAAGAATCAATTTTTTATTTTTTTAGACAGCTTCTTGGTCTGTCATTAAGGCTGGAATTCAGTGGCGTGATCTTAGATCACTGCACTTCCACCTCCCAGGGCTCAAGTGATCCTTCTGCCTCAGCCTCTTGGGTAGCTGGGACTACAGGCATGTGTACCGCCACACCCAGCTAATTTTTGCATTTTTTTGTAGAGAGAGGGTTTTGCCATGTTGCCCAGGGTGGTCTCAAACTCCTGGGCTCAAGCAATCCTCCTGCCTTGGCCTCACAAAGTGCTGGGATTATAGGTATGAGCAACCACATCTGGCCAAATATTTTTTAAAGAAATAAAAAACAGAAAAAATATTTTATATTTTCCCACATATTTACCATCGCTAGCATTCTTCATTTCTTTTTGTAGATCCCAGTTTGCATCTTTTATTATTTTCCTTCTACTTAAACAACTTCCTTTAACATTTTTAATAAAATGAGCATGCAATAAATCCTCTTGACTTTCGTCTGCAAAAGTATTTTACCTTTATTTTTGAAAGATATTTTTGCTGGGTATAGAATTCTAGGTTGACAGTTTCTTTCTTTCAGCTTTTTTTCTCTTTTTTGACAGGGTCTTACTCCGTCACCCAGGATGGAGTGCAGTGATGTGTTAATAGTTTACTGCAACCTCAAACTCCTGGGCTATAGCAATCCTCCCATCTCAGCCTCTCAAC